TAGGTAAAGTTTGTCAGGAAACCATTTTTTTGATTTGGCTCGTGGCAGTTAAGTTTTTCACCGCCTGACTCCAGGAAGACATCCAAGAACGCGAGATTACTATCTCTTTCCTCCCGGAAAGTGAATACAAGACCCCATACTGTTGGTTTTGTTGAGCACAGTGTTGGGTTGTGTCTACCAGGATAATTTATACAAGGCAGCTAGACGTCGTATGTTAATGTGAGGTGAGGACCTGGATGTGTTGCCAGGAGCAATGTTCCAACTGTGTCCAGGTGGTCAGTGCTGCTAAACCACGCCACAACACACCTCCACAACACACCTGCACAACAACACACAACATTCTCACCACAACATACTCACCACACATTTGGAGTTAGCAGGCAGATTGCCTTCTCTCCAGTGATGCTGCTGGACCACTTGTGAGAGGTTCTTCTCCGGAACAAACGTAGCACAGTCCTTACAGTTAGGTACAGTGAAGTCCTCACACTCCACGTGTACGTTGTACTCGCAAACTGTGTACAAAACATTACATTAACTACATGACTGTGAGTACTGTACCTTTTATTTGTAAACTACGTACAAATACCTACATGGAATACACAACACAACACGTCTTTACAAGCTATGTATTATGACTGATACCTTACACAAGAATCAACAGTCACTGTTTACAGACGATTCTGGTAAACTACACTGTACTACTACTGTAACAACCTACACTGTAATATGGTAACCTTCTACACTGCACTATCATGGTAACCTTCCACACTGTATTATCATGGTAACCTTCTACACTGCACTATCATGGTAACCTTCCACACTGTATTATCATGGTAACCTTCCACATTGTACTACCATGGTAACCTTCTACACTGTACTATCATGGTAACCTTCCACACTGTATTATCATGGTAACCTTCCATACTGTATTATCATGGTAACCTTCTACACTGTACTATCATGGTAACCTTCCACACTGTACTATCATGGTAACCTTCCACACTGTACTATCAAGGTAACCTTCTACACTGTACTATCATGGTAACCTTCCACACTGTATTATCATGGTAACCTTCCACACTGTATTATCATGGTAACCTTCCACACTGTCCTACCATGGTAACCTTCCACACTGTATTATCATGGTAACCTTCCACATTGTACTACCATGGTAACCTTCTACACTGCACTATCATGGTAACCTTCCACACTGTATTATCATGGTAACCTTCCATATTGTATTATCATGGTAACCTTCTACACTGTACTATCATGGTAACCTTCCACACTGTACTATCATGGTAACCTTACACACTGTATTATCAAGGTAACCTTCTACACTGTACTATCATGGTAACCTTCTACACTGTACTATCATGGTAACCTTCTACACTGTACTATCATGGTAACCTTCCACACTGTATAATCATGGTAACCTTCTACACTGTACTATCATGGTAACCTTCCACACTGTATTATCATGGTAACCTTCCATACTGTACTATCAAGGTAACCTTCCACACTGTACTATCAAGGTAACCTTCTACACTGTACTATCATGGTAACCTTCCACACTGTACACTACTCATAGTTAAATTAAGTTCAGAGTACAGCAGCAGCTGGTAACAAGGTAACTGCTCACCTCACTTCTTACTGTACTTCCTCTGTGTTGCCCGTCATGCCAGGCTGGCATGGTACAGTGGTTGACGCACTGGCCAGGCTGGCATGGTACAGTGGTTGACGCACTGGCCAGGCTGGCATGGTACAGTGGTTGACACACTGGCCAGGCTGGCATGGTACAGTGGTTGACACACTGGCCAGGCTGGCATGGTAGTGTGGTTGACGCACTGGCCAGGCTGGCATGGTACAGTGGTTGACGCACTGGCCAGGCTGGCATGGTACAGTGGTTGACACACTGGCCAGGCTGGCATGGTACAGTGGTTGACACACTGGCCAGGCTGGCATGGTACAGTGGTTGACGCACTGGCCAGGCTGGCATGGTACAGTGGTTGACGCACTGGCCAGGCTGGCATGGTACAGTGGTTGACGCACTGGCCAGGCTGGCATGGTACAGTGGTTGACACACTGGCCAGGCTGACATGGTACAGTGGTTGACGCACTGGCCAGGCTGGCATGGTACAGTGGTTGACGCACTGGCCAGGCTGGCATGGTACAGTGGTTGACGCACTGGCCAGGCTGGCATGGTACAGTGGTTGACGCACTGGCCAGGCTGGCATGGTACAGTGGTTGACACACTGGCCAGGCTGGCATGGTACAGTGGTTGACGCACTGGCCAGGCTGGCATGGTACAGTGGTTGACGCACTGGCCAGGCTGGCATGGTACAGTGGTTGACACACTGGCCAGGCTGGCATGGTACAGTGGTTGACACACTGGCCAGGCTGGCATGGTACAGTGGTTGACACACTGGCCAGGCTGGCATGGTACAGTGGTTGACATAAGAACATAAGAACATAAGAACGAAGGAACACTGCAGAAGGCCTACTGGCCCATGCGAGGCAGGTCCAAGTCTCCTACCGGCTTAAGCCAATGCACCCAACCTAGTCAGGTCAGGTCACATTGACTTAAGGGAGGAACACGGCAACCGACCTGGTAGCACAAGCTATCAGGTCTAACTCACACCCACCCACATCCACTCATGTATTTATCCAACCTATTTTTAAAGCTACACAACGTTCTGGCCTCTATAACGGTACTTGGGAGTTTGTTCCACTCATCCACAACTCTATTACCAAACCAGTACTTTCCTATATCCTTCCTGAATCTGAATTTTTCCAACTTAAAACCATTGCTGCGAGTCCTGTCTAGGCTAGATATTTTCAGCACACTATTTACATCCCCTTTATTTATTCCTGTCTTCCATTTATACACCTCAATCATATCCCCCCTAATTCTACGTCTTTCTAGAGAGTGCAGATTCAGGGCCCTTAGTCTATCCTCATAGGGAAGGTTTCTGATACATGGGATCAACTTTGTCATCCTCCTTTGTACATTTTCCAGAGAATTTATATCCATTCTGTAATAAGGTGACCAAAACTGTGCAGCATAATCTAAATGAGGCCTAACCAAGGATGTATAGAGTTGAAGAACAACCTGAGGACTCCTATTATTTATGCTTCTTGATATGAAGCCAAGGATTCTATTAGCTTTATTGCGAACACTTATGCACTGTTGTCTTGGTTTCAGATTACTGCTAACCAGAACTCCTAAATCTTTTTCGCAATCCGTAATATTAAGATCTACATTATTTAGTTTATATGTGGCATGATTATTGTCCTGTCCAACATTTAGAACTTTGCATTTGTCTATATTAAACTGCATCTGCCACTTCTCCGACCACTGCATCAGTCTATTCAAATCTTCCTGGAGTGCTCGAATGTCCTCGTCAGAATGAATTCGACGGCCTATTTTGGTGTCATCGGCAAACTTGCCGATGTCGCTCTTTATGCCCTCATCTATGTCGTTTATGTAGATTGTGAACAGCAGGGGGCCCAACACTGACCCCTGTGGAACACCGCTCGTGACACTTCCCCACTCTGATTTCTCCCCATTTATGCAAACTCTCTGCTGCCTATTTGTCAACCATGCCTCTATCCAGGAAAAAATTTCTCCTCCTATTCCATGTGCTTTAATTTTCCTCAATAGTCTCTGATGTGGGACCCTGTCAAAAGCCTTACTGAAGTCCATATACACAATATCATATTCATTACCATGATCTACCTCCTCAAATACCTTAGTGAAAAAAGTTAATAAATTCGTAAGGCAGGAACGCCCCTTTGTAAAACCATGCTGAGATTCGTTGATTAATTTATGCTTTTCAAGGTGGCTACGAACTGCCTCGGCAATTATTGATTCCATAAATTTTCCCACTATGGAGGTTAGGCTTATTGGTCTATAGTTCGAAGCTAAGGACCTGTCACCTGTTTTGAAAATAGGTATCACATTTGCCATTTTCCACTTATCTGGCACCATGCCAGTTTGTAGTGATATGTTGAAAAGATTAGCCAAAGGTGTGCTAAGCTCCTCTTTACATTCCTTTAGAACCCTTGCATACAGTTCATCAGGGCCTGGGGATTTGTTAGGTTTTAATTTATCTATTTGCCTAAGGACCATGTCACTTGTGACCCTAATAGTACACAGTTTATTATCGTCCTGTTCTACATAATTTATCATTACTGGAATTCGCTGGTATCCTCCTGTGTAAAAACTGAGAGGAAGTATGTGTTAAAAATTCTACACATTTCCTTATCACTGTCAGTGAGCTGACCCGAGGAACTTTTGAGTGGGCCTATCTTGTCCCTGATCTTACTTCTGTATACCTGAAAGAATCCTTTTGGGTTAGTCTTCGATTCTCTTGCAACTTTAACCTCATAATCTCTTTTTGCTTTTCTAATTCCCTTTTTTATTTCTCTCTTTAACTGAATATATCGATTTCTCAATTGCCCCTCTCCTCTTTTGATTTGCCTATATATGCCTCTCTTTTGCCAATCAGATATTTTAATCTATTGTTCATCCATTTAGGATCATTTTTGTTTGATCTGATTTCCCTATTTGGAACATAATTTGACTGAGCAGCTAGAACTATGCCCTGGAAAGCATCATATCGGCAACCATCACCACCTACCTGACCCTTAGTCAGGTCATTCCAGTTCAGCCCCCCTAAGTAATTTTTCAGTCCTATGAAATCAGCCAAGCGAAAGTCAGGGACGGAGACTTGATTGCCATTATTGGGGGAATTCCATGATATATTAAAACTGAGTGTTTTGTGATTCACTTTCCCCAAGCTCATCATTAACCTCAAGATTATTAATTAGTGTTTCCCTACTGGCAAGAACCAAGTCAAGGAGGTTATTTCCCCTAGTTGGCTCTGTCACAAACTGTTTTAAAAAACAATCCTGGATCGTATCAAGAAAGTCACCTGACTCTAAATTTCCTGTCAAATTGCTCCAGTCAATCTGTCTATAGTTGAAATCTCCCATTAGCACAACATTTTCGTATGTAGATGCCTTACGAATTTCGTCCCATAGAAGTTTTACTGCACTCCCTATCAAGATTTGGGGCCCTGTAAATCACACCCAAAATTAGTTTTTCTCGGCCCTCGAGAAGCTGTAACCAAACAGATTCAGTGGCTGACGCTTCTAATTTAATATCTTGTCTAACACAACAATTTAAATTGTCTGACATACATCGCTACTCCACCACCTTTCCTGTTGACCCTGTCAGTGTGGAATAATTTATAGCCTTGTATGTGACATTCAGAGGGCACTCTCTATCTTTCAGATTGAGCCAGGTCTCTGTTATAGCAATAATATCTATGTCTCCTGCACTTGCAATTAATCTTAGCTCATCTATCTTATTTCTTACACTCCTGCTATTAGTATAGTAAACCTTAAGGGAGCTAGTCCCTTGCTGCCCTCTGCTGTCCCCCTTTGTTTGCTGACCTGATCTATTGTCTTTATTTATAACTTCATGCTGAATGCCTTTTATACATTTACTGTTTCCAACCCAAGTATTGCAACCTGCTTGTTTCCCACACACACCCCATACCTCTATCTTCCATCAGTTTAAAATCATAGGCATTTCACCAATGGCCTTCTCAATCGAGTCTGCAAGTGCTACCACCCCAGCCCAGAGAGATGTACCCCATCCCTTGCATACATATCATGTTTGCCATTAAAGTTGTTCCAGTTGTCAATGAATGGGATTGCATGTTCCTTGCAGTATCTGTCTAGCCAGCAATTTACACCAATTGCCCTAGACAACCATTCATTTCCTACTCCCCTTCTAGGCAAGATGCTACATATGATTGGGATCCCTCCCTTAGACTTAATGAAATCAATAGCTGACCTGTACTTATCTAGCAGCTCTTCTCTCCTACCCTTCCCAATATCATTTCCAACCAGCACTGAGACAGATAATGGGCTTGCTCCCATTACCTGACATGATATTATCCAGCCTGTTGACAATTTGTCCCAACACCAGCTCCAGGGAAGCACACTCTATCCTCATCTTTTATTCCTATTACAAAAAGCACGGTCAATGTTTTCTTACCTGAGAGTCCCCAACCACAAGAATGCGCTTACCTCCATTAGCAGGGGCAGTAGTACCCTTACCTTCACTGGCCACTGAAGTACATTTTTCATCCTGAAGAACAGAGAAGCGATTTCCTCCCTTTCAGATCTTCACTCTTAACTTTCCCTTACTCTGATGCGCCTTCCATTACTGTGAACTACTCGCACTTGTAGCAGGTGTGGGCTGCACCTCACTGCTGGTAGCCGTTGCTGCCACCCCAACTACAGCCTCCTCACAGCGAGAGACAGACTGCACCTCGCTGCTAGAAGCCTCATTCCCCACAACTCCAGCCACCTCACACTCTCTCCCAGACCCATTGAGGTGGACCTTCAGCCTCCTAATCTCCTCCTGGAGAAGCAAGACCTCCTCCTTCAACTCTCCAACCCCAATTTTTAAAACACTGCAGAAGCAAGCCATGCTTTGTAACCGTCCACACTAATCCCCAAGGCAGCTCAGGGTCTGTGACCTCACGTGACGACTGACCACTGAGTACTGGTCTACCTTCTAGTCTTAGAACTAGCTCTACCTTGTGTTTGTATCTCACTCTTTACACACTTCCTGTGCTCACTGACCAACACCACTGTTATGCTAGGTATAAATATATTGCCAATAATAATAATTATAATAATAATAATAATGATAACAGGTGTACACCCACAACACTTGGTGTACAGGTGTACACCCACTACACCTGCTGTACAGATGTACACCCACTACACCTGTACAGGTGTACACCCACAACACCTGCTGTGCAGGTGTACACCCACTACACCTGTACAGGTGTACACCCACAACACCTGCTGTACAGGTGTACACCCACTACACCTGTACAGGTGTACACCCACTACACCTGTACAGGTGTACACCTAATACACCTGCTGTACAGATGTACACCCACTACACCTGCTGTACAGGTGTACACCCACAACACCTGCTGTTCAGGTGTACACCCACAACACCTGCCGTACAGGTGTACACCCACAACACCTGCTGTACAGGTGTACACCCACAACACCTGCTGTTCAGGTGTACACCCACAACACCTGCTGTACAGGTGTACACCCACAACACCTGCCGTACAGGTGTACACCCACTACATCTGCCGTACAGGTGTACACCCACTACACCTGCCGTACAGGTGTACACCCACTACACCTGCTGTACTAGTGTACACCCACTACACCTGCCGTACAGGTGTACACCCACTACACCTGCTGTACAGGTGTACACCCACTACACCTGCTGTACTAGTGTACACCCACTACACCTGCCGTACAGGTGTACACCCACTACACCTGCCGTACAGGTGTACACCCACTACACCTGCCGTACTAGTGTACACCCACTACACCTGCCGTACTAGTGTACACCCACTACACCTGCTGTACTAGTGTACACCCACTACACCTGCCGTACAGGTGTACACCCACTACACCTGCCGTACAGGTGTACACCCACTACACCTGCCGTACAGGTGTACACCCACTACACCTGCCGTACAGGTGTACACCCACTACACCTGCCGTACAGGTGTACACCCACTACACCTGCTGTACAGGTGTACACCCACTACAACCTGCCGTACAGGTGTACACCCACTACACCTGCCGTACAGGTGTACACCCACTACACCTGCCGTACAGGTGTACACCCACTACACCTGCCGTACAGGTGTACACCCACTACACCTGCCGTACAGGTGTACACCCACTACACCTGCCGTACAGGTGTACACCCACTACACCTGCCGTACAGGTGTACATCTACTACACCTGCCGTACAGGTGTACACCCACTACACCTGCTGTACAGGTGTGTGGGGATCACTCACCTTCACATTTAATGGCCCAGGTATCGTCAAGTTTCTTGCGACAAACATTACAGTGTCTTCGTCTCAGGTGTAGCGGTTCAGACCAGCAGTGTGCTACAGGTGTCTGCAACAAAGACATGTGCTTCAGTACAACAACAGGTGTTAGAGAATTACATATGTTCAAGTACTGCAGTTGTTAGAGAACCTCTGATTTTTAGTATTACAGGTGTTAATAATAGGGAACAGGTGTTAGCAACTGGGGCATCAGGTTAATACCGTACTTAGGCTACCAATAATTAGATACCATTTACAAAGATATACGTATATATATACGTAGATACACACAGATGTACGTATATATACACATATGAGCGTAGATATACGTAGACGTACATAGATATACATAATGTTTGTATTTTGCAGTTTAACTCATTATGAGGTAAACTGAGTAGTGTTTTCTGATGATTTTATACCAGTGTTGTGTTCTTGATAACTTCTGAATACCTAAATTACTTCGTTTGTTTCTGAAATATTTAAAACATTTACCTACTGCTCGGTTGGTTGGTTAATAAGGTTTCAAGCCTATCGCCTACACAAGGGTCATTAAAGCAGAATATCACTTATTCATCAGCAATTAAGAATATTTGATTCCTTAAAACAGTGATCAAAGTTTACTCTGAGTGTATATATGGTACACAGGAGGATCCTGCTTTACAGTGCTTCACTTTACGGCGTTTCGCTAATACAGCGGTTTTCAATTATATCCATTCTTCATTTATTCAAACTTCCTACAGTAAATATATTCATCATTCACTGTAAGTTAAGGATGAAAATATTTTAAGGTAAGTAATGTGTGTAGTGTATAAGTATTTTTTAAAGGTCTAGCTCTATTGTTTATTTAATATATGATAGTGAGCATGTTACCAGGCTGAGACAAGGCTGTGTACCAGGCTGAGACAAGGCAGTGTACCAGGCTGAGACAAGGCTGTGTACCAGGCTGAGACAAGGCTGTGTTTCACTTTACAGCACAACCTAACCTGCTGTATAAGTGGTGCTCGCCCACATTATATACACACACACACACACACACACACACACACACACACACACACACACACACACACACACACACACACACACAAAACACACACATATATATATATATATATATATATATATATATATATATATATATATATATATATTTATATACAGGCGAGCACCGATATATACATCTTTCGGTATATATACTCAGTATGAACAAGTGCAGGAGCAGTATGAGCAGGTGCATGAGTAGTAGGAACAGGTGCAGTAGTATGAACAGGTGCAGGAGTAGTATGAACAGGACCAGTAGTATGAACAAGTGCAGGAGTATGAATAGATCCAGGAGTAATATGAAAAGGTGCAGGAGTAGTATGAACAAGTGCAGCAGTATGAACATGTGCATTAGTATGAACAGGTGCTGAAGCAGTATGAACAGGTGCAATAGTATGAACAGGTGCAGTAGTAGTATGAACAGGTGCATTAGTAGTATGAACAGGTGCAGTAGTAGTATGAACAGGTGCAGAAGTAGTATGAACAGGTGCAGTAGTAGTATGAACAGGTGCAGTAGTATAAAAAGTTGCAAAGGGGTACGAACAGGTGTACGAACAGGTTGCAAGAAGGGCAGAAACAGGTGTACGAGCACGTTGCAGGAGGGGCAGGAACAGGTGTACGAACAGGTTGTAAGAGGGGGCAGGAACAGGTGTACAAACAGGTTGTAAGAGGGGCAGGAACAGGTATACGAACAGGTTGTAAGAGGGGCAAGAGCAGGTGTACGAACAGGTTGCAGGAGGGGCAGAAACAGATGTACGAACAGGTTGTAAGAGGGGGCAGGAACAGGTGTACAAACAGGTTGTAAGAGGGGCAGGAACAGGTGTACGAACAGGTTACAGGAGGGGCAGGAACAGGTGTACGAACAGGTTGTAAGAGGGGCAGGAACAGGTGTCCGAACAGGTTGTAAGAGGGGCAGGAACAGGTGTACGAACAGCTTGTAAGAGGGGCAGGAACAGGTGTACGAACAGGTTGCAGAAGGGGCAGGAACAGGTGTACGAACAGGTTACAGGAGGGTCAGGAACAGGTGTACAAACAGCTTGTAAAAGGGGCAGGAACAGGTGTACGAACAGGTTGCAGGAGGGGCAGGAACAGATGTACGAACAGGTTGTAAGAGGGGGCAGGAACAGGTGTACGAACAGGTTGTAAAAGGGGCAGGAACAGGTGTACGAACAGGTTACAGGAGGGGCAGGAACAGATGTACGAACAGGTTGTAAGAGGGGCAGGAACAGGTGTACGAACAGGTTGTAAGAGGGGCAGGAACAGGTGTACGAACAGCTTGTAAGAGGGGCAGGAACAGGTGTACGAACAGGTTGCAGAAGGGGCAGGAACAGGTGTACGAACAGGTTACAGGAGGGTCAGGAACAGGTGTACAAACAGCTTGTAAAAGGGGCAGGAACAGGTGTACGAACAGGTTGCAGAAGGGGCAGGAACAGGTGTACGAACAGGTTGCAGGAGGGGCAGGAACACGTGTACGAACAGCTTGTAAGAGGGGCAGGAACAGGTGTACGAACAGGTTGCAGGAGGGGCAGGAACAGGTGTAAAACAAGTTGCAGGAACAGGTGTACGAACAGGTTGTAAGAGGGGCAGGAGCAGGTGTACGAACAGGTTGTAAGAGGGGCAGGAACAGGTGTACGAACAGGTTGTAAGAGGGGGCAGGAACAAGTGTACGAACAGGTTTTAAGAGGGGCAGGAACAGGTGTACGAACAGGTTACAGAAGGGGCAGGAACAGGTGTACGAACAGGTTGTAAGAGGGGGCAGGAACAAGTGTACGAACAGGTTGTAAGAGGGGCAGGAACAGGTGTACGAACAGGTTACAGAAGGGGCAGGAACAGGTGTACGAACAGGTTGTAAGAGGGGGAAGGAACAAGTGTACGAACAGGTTGTAAGAGGGGCAGGAACAGGTGTACGAACAGGTTACAGAAGGGGCAGGAACAGGTGTATGAACAGGTTTTAAGAGGGGCAGGAACAGGTGTACGAACATGTTACAGGAGGGGCAGGAACAGGTGTACGAACAGGTTGTAAGAGGGGCAGGAACAGGTGTACGAACAGGTTACAGGAGGGGCAAGAACAGGTGTACGAACAGGTTACAGGAGGGGCAAGAACAGGTGCACGAACAGGTTACAGGAGGGGCAAGAACAGGTGTACGAACATGCTACAGGAGGGGCAGGAACAGGTGTACGAACAGGTTGTAAGAGGGGCAGGAACAGGTGTACGAACAGGTTACAGGAGGGGCAAGAACAGGTGTACGAACAGGTTACAGGAGGGGCAAGAACAGGTGCACGAACAGGTTACAGGAGGGGCAAGAACAGGTGTACGAACATGTTACAGGAGGGTCAGGAACAGGTGTACGAACAGGTTACAGGAGGGGCAAGAACAGGTGTACGAACAGGTTACAGGAGGGACAAGAACAGGTGTACGAACATGTTACAGAAGGGGCAGGAACAGGTGTACGAACAGGTTGTAAGAGGGGCAGGAACAGGTGTACGAACAGGTTACAGGAGGGGCAAGAACAGGTGTACGAACAGGTTACAGGAGGGGCAAGAAGAGGTGTACGATCAGGTTACAGGAGGGGCAAGAACAGATGTAAAACAAGTTGCAGGAACAGGTGTACGAACAGGTTGTAAGAGGGGGCAAAAACAGGTGTACGAACATGTTACAGGAGGGGCAGGAACAGGTGTACGAACATGTTACAGCAGGGGCAGGAACAGGTGTACGAACAGTTTACAGGATGGGCAGGAACAGGTGTACGAACAGGTTACAGGAGGGGCAGGAACAGGTGTACGAACATGTTACAGGAGGGGTAAGAATAGGTGTACGAACAGGTTGTAAGAGGGGCAGGAACAGGTGTACGAACAGGTTGTAAGAGGGGAAGGAACAGGTGTACGAACAGGTTGCAGGAGGGGCAAGAACAGGTGTAATGTAACACAAGTTGCAGGAACAGGTGTACGAACAGGTTACAGAAGGGGCAGGAACAGGTGTACGAACAGGTTACAGGAGGGACAGGAACAGGTGTACGAACAGGTTACAGGAGGGGCAGGAACAGGTGTACGAACAGGTTACAGGAGGGATAGGAACAGGTGTACGAACAGGTTAAAGGAGGGGCAAGAACAGGTGTACGAACAGGTTACAGGAGGGATAGGAACAGGTGTACGAACAGGTTAAAGGAGGGGCAAGAACAGGTGTACGAACAGTTACAGGAGGGATAGGAACAGGTGTACGAACAGGTTAAAGGAGGGGCAAGAACAGGTGTACGAACAGGTTACAGGAGGGATAGGAACAGGTGTACGAACAGGTTAAAGGAGGGGCAAGAACAGGTGTACGAACAGGTTACAGGAGGGGCAAGAACAGGTGTACGAACAGGTTACAGGAGGGGCAGGAACAGGTGTAAGACAAGTTGCAGAAACAGGTACAAGAAAGTACTGACCTTAATAAGCGTGGGAGCGACGCTGGAACACGGTGATACAACAGTTTTCATACACTTGTCATGAACCACGAAGTTACATACTGTTGGAGGAAGTACTTTGTTAGTCACCACCACCACCACCATCACCACCACATGTACTACCACCACCACCACTACCACCACATGTACTACCACCATCACCACCATCACCACCCACCACATGTACTACAACTACCACCACCACCACCACATGTACTACAACTACCACCACCACCATCACTACCACCACCACATCACTACCACCACCACCACCACCATCACCACCACCACATGCACTACCACCACCAACCGCCATCCACCACCACATGCACTACCACCACCACCACTACCACCACATTGCACTAACACCACCACCACCACATGTACTACAACTACCACCACCATCACCACTACCACCACATGCACTACCACCATCACCACTCACCACTACAATGCACTACCACTACCACCACCACCACCCCATCACCACTACCACCACATGCACTACCACCATCACCACCCACCACCACATGTACTACCACTACCACACCACCACCACCACCATATGTACTACAACTACCACCACCATCACCACTACCACCACATGCACTACCACCATCACTACCCACCACCACATGCACTACCACTACCACCACCACCTTCACCACTACCACCACATGCACTACCACCACCACCACATGCACTACCACTACCACCATCACCACTACCACCACATGCACTACCACTACCACCATCACCACTACCACCACATGCACTACCACTACCACCACCACCTTCACCACCACCACCACATGCACTACCACCACCACCACATGCACTACCACTACCACCACCACCATCACCACTACCACCACATGCACTACCACTACCACCATCACCACTACCACCACATGCACTACCACTACCACCACCACCATCACTACCACCACATGCACTACCACCACCATCACCACTACCACCACCACATCATCATCAACACCATCATCACCATATTAACTAAAAGCACCATCATCAGTGGCTACTACACTTCAAATCACCAGTGTTAATATTTTTCAACTCATAATTAACATGAGACAATATATTTAACATATTCTAATATTTTTAAACAGGATAAATATTTGATCAAGTAAACAAATGTGTCGAATATATTTAAAATAAATAAATCTAAATTCTATATACTAAAAATATATTTGAGGTATATTTCACATATAAAAGATAGTTAATAACGCAGTGTTCTGTGAATTATATTATCTATAAATGTCTCGCTTCCTTCTAGATTATTAATTGGTTATAATTATGACTATAATTTTATAGAGGTGGACTGGTAAGCCAGCGGAAGGCCTCGGTCAGATGACCAAAGCTCCAGCTGTGGGTCTTCATATGACTAAGACCTGCGTCAGGAAACACTTGTCCTGTTTCTTGACGAACTTTACCTAAGGTTCCGAAGACGAATATTAGCACAAGTGAGAAAGTTTATATCATAGAAATGATTAACATGTTAATCTGTAGTGTTTAGTGAACATTCACTTCTCATATTAACCCACTAACTTCCACTGAACATTCACCAGTACCTTCCACTGAACATTCACCAGTACCTTCCACTGAACATTTACCAGTACCTTCCACTGAACATTCACCAGTACCTTCCACTGAACATTCACCAGTACCTTCCACTGAACATTCACCAGTACCTTCCACTGAACATTCAGTAGTACCTTCCACTGAACATTCACCAGTACCTTCCACTGAACATTCACCAGTACCTTCCACTGAACATTCACCAGTACCTTCCACTGAACATTCACCAGTACCCTCCACTGAACATTCACCAGTACCTTCCACTGAACATTCACCAGTACCTTCCACTGAACATTCACCAGTACCCTCCACTGAACATTCACCAGTACCTTCCACTGAACATTTACCAGTACCTTCCACTGAACATTCACCAGTACCCTCCACTGAACATTCACCAGTACCTTCCACTGAACATTCACCAGTACCTTCCACTGAACATTCACCAGTACCCTCCACTGAACATTCACCAGTACCTTCCACTGAACATTTACCAGTACCTTCCACTGAACATTCACCAGTACCTTCCACTGAACATTCACCAGTACCTTCCACTGAACATTCACCAGTACCTTCCACTGAACATTCACCAGTACCTTCCACTGAACATTCAGTAGTACCTTCCACTGAACATTCACTTACACCTGAAATACACTAAAAATAAAATAATTATTACAGTGGTCAGGGCAGGGGTCTCCCTCGCACCTACAATGTAAACACAGACTTCAATAAGTACGTGAAGAGATAACTTTCAGGATAAAGGGTTCCAAACCTTTCATCAGTCTGCTGCTTCTTCGCTGTTTAATGTGCTTCAGTAACTGGAAATCTATCAGTGTCCTCCTTTAACATGTACGGGAAACCCATAGTTAACTCCTCCTCCCCTTTTTTTCAAGAGAAACTATATATTTACAAGATGGCAAGCTGGGCTTTCCGAAATTTTGGTTGTGTTAAAAGGATTTAATTTTACATCGATCCATTTTTAATAGAATCCAATGCTTTAAATACGATGCTTTTGGATATGAAATTAATATTTTATTGTCTACATATCATTACATCTATTGTTTCCCGGAATAGTCTATTAAAAAGTTGATCCCACATAAATCTACTTAAAAAAATAATTTAATCATCAATATTTTTTGATCATCTATTGCTTTCCAGAATTATCTATAAAGAAATTGATCCCACATAAATCTACTTAAAAAGGAATCGAATGCTTTATATGTGATGTTAAAATCTTTCATTTCTTAATATTTAAACATTCATATTTTTTACCTCGTCTATAGTTTTCTAAAATTGTTTATTAAAAAGTTGATCCCATATAATTATACTTAAAAAAACTAATGCTTTTTAAATGATGTTAAAAACATGTCGTTTCCTAACTAATATTTAATCCTCTATATTTTTACCTGATATATTGCTTCCCAGAACTACAAAAAAATTTGATCTCACATAAATCTTACAAAAAGAATCCAATGCTTTAAATAAAAATGTTAAATTTTGTTTTTATCTGTAACTGATATTGTATTATGTAATTATCACTACATCTATAATTTCCTAGAATACTCTATAAAAAAGCTGATCCCACAAAATTCTACGAACAAAAGGAATCGAATGCTTTAAATATGATGTTAAAATCTTTCCTCTAATAACTAACATTTAATCATCTATTGTTTACCTCGTCTATAGTTTGTCTGAAACAGTGGAGAGATTATTGTTAGATTTTTGTAGGAAAAAAAACCGGAAATATAGAGAAAGTCGAGTTATTACTGAAGTGTTGACAGTGTCAGCTGCCAGTACGACAATATTACATACATTTTTTTTGAAAGTAAACAAAAAATTGTGAAAAAATAGTGTATTACTATTATAATAATGATACTACTACTAATGTTATTAATGGTAATAGTATTATTAGTGATAATAATGTTGTTAATAATAATACATGAATAAGTGGTATTAAAGTGGAGAAAAAGTCTCCAGCTCACTTCTAGTATTTTAACCAGAAAACGTATAAAAAAGAATTAAGTTTTCGAGTGTTTTCAGTTTTCTTCTGTGGTTTTTGTCGGTTTTCAAATTCTCGCATTTGTTGACTTCCAGTAACCACTAGTCTGACACTAGTCTGACACTATTCTGACACTAGTCTGACACTAGTCTGACACTAGTCTGACACTAGTCTTACCACTAGTCTGACACTAGTCTGACCACTAGTCTGACACTAGTCTGACCACTAGTCTACTAGTCTGACACTAGTCTGACACTAGTCTGACCATTAGTCTGACCACTAGTCTGACACTAGTCTGACACTAGTCTGACCATTAGTCTGACCACTAGTCTGACACTAGTCTGACACTAGTCTACTAGTCTGACACTAGTCTGACACTAGTCTGACCACTAGTCTGACACTAGTCTGACACTAGTCTGACCACTAGTCTGACACTAGTCTGACACTAGACTGACACTAGTCTGACACTAGTCTGACACTAGTCTACTAGTCTGACACTAGTCTGACCACTAGTCTGACACTAGTCTACTAGTCTGACACTAGTCTGACCACTAGTCTGACCACTAGTCTGACACTAGTCTACTAGTCTGACACTAGTCTACTAGTCTGACACTAGTCTGACCACTAGTCTGACACTAGTCTGACACTAGTCTACTAGTCTGACACTAGTCTGACACTAGTCTGACCACTAGTCTGACCACTAGTCTGACCACTAGTCTGACCACTAGTCTGACCACTAGTCTGACACTAGTCTGACACTAGTCTGACCACTAGTCTGACACTAGTCTGACACTAGTCTGACACTAGTCTACTAGTCTGACACTAGTCTGACACTAGTCTGACCACTAGTCTGACACTAGTCTGACACTAGTCTGACACTAGTCTGACCACTAGTCTGACCACTAGTCTGACACTAGTCTGACACTAGTCTACTAGTCTGACACTAGTCTACTAGTCTGACACTAGTCTGACACTAGTCTGACACTAGACTGACACTAGTCTGACCACTAGTCTGACACTAGTCTGACACTAGTCTGACCACTAGTCTGACACTAGTCTGACACTAGACTGACACTAGTCTGACCACTAGTCTGACACTAGTCTGACCACTAGTCTGACACTAGTCTGACACTAGTCTGACACTAGTCTGACCACTAGTCTGACCACTAGTCTACTAGTCTGACACTAGTCTACTAGTCTGACACTAGTCTGACATTAGTCTGACACTAGTCTGACACTAGACTGCACTATCTGACCACTAGTCTGACACTAGTCTGACACTAGTCTGACCACTAGTCTGACACTAGTCTGACACTAGACTGACACTAGTCTGACCACTAGTCTGGCACTAGTCTGACACTAGTCTGACACTAGTCTGACACTAGTCTGACACTAACTGACACTAGTCTGACACTAGTCTGACACTAGTCTGACACTAGTCTGACACTAGTCTGACATCTAGTCTGA